AGAGTTTCTCTGAATCAGAGAACTTAAGTAATTTCTCAAAATCATAGAATTTTATGGTGACTCTCCTAGGTTGAAATGTCCATTCAAGCATCAGTCCTATTCTTTAATTACATTCAGTTATGCATTCAATGACATGTACATTGGGCAGTGACTAAGTGTCAAGAACTACACCAGGAATTTCAGATGCACTGGCATCTTGTAGTGTTTTATGTTCTACATGGAGATAAGTGAGTATGAGTGTGCTTTTCTGTGTATGTGTGCATTACACATGCATACCTATTGAGACCTGAAGAAAGCCACCAGTTTAATCCATTAGAAGTGAATTACTAGGGCTTAATTTCACAAGTGGAAACAGCTTATGTGTTCTGAGTACATCAAGCACTACTCAAGTGGTTGCAGTAGCCATTGACTGCCAAGATCCTCCTACATCATTTTGTCAGAATTCAATGACTAAATCTTGAAAGCAGCACCCCCAGGGCCTTTCTAGCTAAGTGGAATTTCTTAACCCATAGTCTTAGCGTTAGAATCCACTATTTAAAGAAAGGATAAATCAAGGGAAATCTAAAAATATTTGCATTGTTACATCTATGTACTTTTTGTCCATAGTCGGAAGATCTTTGGGCCCTGATTTAAACTTGAAAATAGAATGCTTATGTATTCTTTAATTTACACTTATTTTAAGTGATTCATAAAAACATAAAAATTGCATATATTCACAGGATATCATGTGCTGTTTTGATACAGGGATTTATTGTGGAATGTTTAAATCACCATAAACAGACCTATCTCTTCATTTATCACTTCTGTATATTTTTGCGTAAGAGTGAGTTGTATTATGTAGAAATAATTAATTACAAGGATTTATGCAATTCAGCCATCAACTGTCTCTGAGGGAATTTTGAGTGCTATGCTACCATTCAAATATTTTCTTTCTCTGCTCCTACTTTTAAATGTTAATTGATTTGCTCCATGAAATGTCCTGTAAAGTAGCCAGATGTTGTAAGAGAATCTTGATAGTATGGGAATTCAGCAGGAGACTCTTGCAGCATAAAATGATCCTCAAATTTCTCCAGCTTTCAACAGAGCAGAAACAAAGACCGCCACTTCAAGTGGAGTTAAGAAGAATCTCCAGGATTTCACCAGTAACATCTAAAGAAAAGAAAAACTGTTCACCACACTTTTAGAAACACAGAAGAAATTACCTTGAACTAGTATATGGGAGACTAAGTTAACTGGGAACTCTGCCACTGTCTTGCTGTGTGACCCCAGACTAATCATATACTCTCTGGATCTAGTGTTGTCTTTTAGCAAAATGGCTGTTAGAGATGTAAGCATGCTTTCATTACATATAAACAGTGCCTGGGAATTTAAAGGAGCAAGTTATTCTCCCAGAGGAAATCACAGAAAAATTCACAGAAGAGGTGGTATTTGGTCCAGTGTTTGATGGACAGTTTCGCCAGCTGAAAAACACATGAACAGCAATGCAGGCTCAGGATGGGATTGGGGGCGGCTGTGTAGTCACAATAAACAACCATTTGCAGACACTGCCCCAGAAAAGGATGTGTGATGATGTAATCAGGGATTAGGAAAAGCCAGTGAATAATTGCAGAGCGCACAGATGAGACTTAAAGTAAGTTCTGTTTGGATGACACAGGGCCTTATGTGGCTCACACAGGTTTGCTAAGTAATAAGAAGCCAATAGGAATTTTTATGTCTTCCAGTAGAATGTGATTTTTAACATAGGCTAAAGTGGATGGGAAAGTAAATGCTGATTAGGAAACCAGTTATAAAGTTGATGCTGTAAATCAGGCAACATAGAAGGGTCTGAATTTAAAACCAGGCACATTTTGAAGACATTTCTTAGAATTAACAAACTTTGTGACTAGGGATAATGAGATGAACTGAGAAACCAAGGAGATTGTAGAGTTCCTATCTTGCTATAGTGATCCCATCTACAGAGAGCTTTTCAAACTTCTGTATGCATCAGAATCACCCAGAGGACCTGTAAAACACAAATTGCTGCACCCTACCCACTAAACTTTCAATGTAGCAGGTCTGGATAAGGTCCAAACACTTGTGTTTTTAACAAGTTCTCAGGAGATATTGCTGTTTCTCAGGGATCACACTTCAAAAACTACTAATGTGAGATTAAACAGGTGAAGAAGTAATTTACAAGGGAAGCAAGCTGATGAGGGGCTCTGGGATGTGTTGTATATTTCTTCTATTATCTATCACCCAAAGAGATACAAACTCCATGAGAATGACTGTGATTTATTCATACCTCACACCTGTAGGCCTAGTGCCTTGCACAATATTTAGAACATATCTGATATTCAGTGAAGATTTGCTAAACAAATGTCGAATTCATCCAGGTTGAGATGACCACAGACAATTAGAAATAAAAGTACTTTGGTCTGTGATTGATCTCAGTGGGTGGATGATGTGATCCAATCCCTCATTTGAGCAGTAAGTACATGAATTTCAAAAGTGGAAAACTATGTGTCTCTAAGAATATGTAACTGTACACTGAAGGAACATCTGTGTGGACTCTCGAAGGATTTCGGCATGTGGAGGGGAGCTGGATGAGGTGACCCTCTCGGTTCTTTGCTCACTCTGCCTCACAACAAGTCTATCGTAAGAGTAGAGAACAACGGTGAATTCATGCAAAATTGAAATTGATGTTGGAGGTGAAGTCAAGCAAAATTTATTTCAAAGTGGCAATGACAAGCATTATTAAAATACAAGAGTGAGCTAAGATGCTAGAGGGAAAGGAATTTTGAGTCAGGACACTGAGAAAGTATAGGCCAGGATCTGCCCTATATTCTGGTCAGAGTGGATGAACCATTTCATCTCCCAGCCAAGACTACAGCATACAATTTAACATCTCTGTGTGTGAGACAACCACTCTTCTATCTTCTCTTCCTCCACACAGATCAGAAGGCAACAGATCTTTACAAGAAACAAAGTTCCCTGGGGCTGGGGATTTAGCTCAGTGGCATAAGCGCCTGCCTTGCAAGCAGGCAGTTGTGAGTTCGATCCCTGGTACTGATAGAAAAAGACAAAAAAAAAAAAAAATAGAAAACAAAGTTCCTATTTGTCAGATTGTATCCGGATGTGTTGAACAGTCCCAATTCTATCACCAGATGAATTAAGAATATGTACCAACTCTGCCATTATGTCCTACAGTGCATTATTTTCACAAGCAAAGCACATAAATTGGGCAACCTTTTGCTGAGAAATTTTTTTATCAGCAAAGGAAATTTGTGGCTTGATAGTGAGAGAACATAGCCCTCTCAAGTTAGAAGACACTTTTACCTCTGCTACTGGGTTAGAAATGCTTCAGAAATACACAAAGGATTTTGAAAAAATAGAAGTGCAGTGCCTCGGGGAGTACCGCTAGTTTAAATAACACATGAAAAGTATTTATGAGCCCCTTTTTTATGAGGTGGTCAAAGAAAAGACCATCCAGCATGTAACATAAGACTGGCTGAAGAAGAAAGCATTTCCAAACCACATTGGAGAGTTAAGCATGAATGGAATTTTATTTCAGTCTCTATTGCTTATTTAAATTAATGGTGTTTTCAGATGGGGCCTAAATGATAATGCAGATCAAGGTAAGGTTTGCCAGGAAGAAAATATACTAGTCTATTATTCAAAGAATGTTACTAGGTAATGTTGAAATAATCTGAAATATATGGGTTTAGCAAAAGGGGGTTTCTGGAAGGGATATGTGATTGTAATATGCCCAAGTCCATTTTGAATTCTGTGGGTTGAGCATTTTGCTAGAGTCAAGGCTTTGGAACTATTCCATGGTCAGCAAATGTGGCTTAGATTGTCTATAGCCAACAAGGCCAGAGCGCTGTACACACAGAACCACAACATGTTGTTGTAGCACTGGGTCCAGTTCAGTGACAAAGTGTGCTGTTCTTCATTTCTTTGATGGTTCCAGCTAACTTCTCCACAGAGCGCATGCCGTGAACTTTATTTCTCCTAAGTGGCAATGAGTCTGAGCTAATCCCTCTCTTTCTCCTTTCAGGGCCTCTTTGTGACAAAGAGCATGCCCTGGTGTGTGACAGCTGGCAAAGGTTATGGGTTGTGGATGCAGCCACGGAATAGAACAAAGATAACTGGTCCCTCGGGGCATTAAACTGAGATCCTTGGCCTCATTAATTCCCTGTCTTATAATAAGCATCTGCCCTGTGAGTTGTATCAGTAACAAATTGTAATGGTAAAGTGTTCCCTCAGGCCACCAGTTGATTGAGTTCCATAGCTGTGTCAGGAGTATTAATGTGTTCAGCCCTTAAATGAATACTAACTACTCCTGGCCCTCACTTAGTTATGCCACAAACACTGACTGAGCACCAACTGTGTTCTAGGCACAATCCTAGGATAACACTAAAATTATGTAATTTTCCACCGAACTCCTTTTGAATGCTACAAAAGTAACAGTGTGCTCAATCTGAAGTTGGTCAATTATGGATCAGAAAAAGAAATCTTCATTGCTGTTGTTGTTGCTGCCGTTGCTTAATAATTTTAAATTGAATCCATCTGATCACTAACACAGCATTTCATCTCTACCCATGTTTCAAGTTCAGCAGCATTGAAGCCAATTTACATATTTTATGTCTTACATAAATATGGGAGATATCACTGAAAATTAGAAAAAAAATGCAATCTAGATTTGTTATTTATCTAGACACATACTATCTCCAAAGTATTACAAAGGGGAAGTAAGAGGAAATCAGGCCTTAGGAAACTTTGTTTTCAGTAAATTCAGGAAAACTGTTGAATCATTTTTCATTCCTTTTACAGAACCATTTTATTATAAATTTCCCATGGAGCTTTCACTTTCTTTTTTCCTTGGTCATCTATCTTCCTTATCCTCAAACTTTTGGTTTGTGGTAGACAGCACAGAGATGGAAACGCTTGGTGCACATCAGGCATCCGCCTTCTGCCCACGTAAGAGGGACATCAGCCAGTGCACCACGCAGCTTGGCACATACATAGCCCGCCTCATTAGTGCCCGTCCTCCAATCCTCCGTCTTTCCTTCCAGCCTGCTGGCCAGATGGAATAGCAGTTTAGCAGCAGGAGGGCGCTCCATTCTGTGACTGCCTCCAAGAGATCACTGGATCCTGAACAAGAAGGTGTCTCTCCTTCAGCAGTTGTCAAGCCCTACTGAAGGTAAATGATCCCTTCTTCATCCTGGGGTGGGGACGGCTCTCCAGGAGGTGCAGAGCAGAGTGCAGTTTGCTTTTATGAAGAGCTAATCTGCATTTCCTTACTTTTCACCGCAGCAGAGCCATGCTCGAAAATACATCCTGCTGTACCAAATCCACACGAAGTAAACATCACAATGCCGCTCTGTCGTAATTACTACGTTCTTTACGGAACTCAGGAAGGCTAAAGACTTTGTCATTAGTGCAGCGACTCGTTCCAGAGTTCATCAGCTCAGAGTCACATAGCGGGAGATGTGTTTAATCTGATTATGGATTTCCAGTCATGCTAGCAAGACAAGAACTTAATACCCCTTCCCCAATTAATCTATTTTAACACTGTGGAAAACAAATTCTGCAAGACCCTATGTGTTTTATTTTCCTTCTAGAATAAACACAGCAGCACTTCATGTCTTCTTGGTCAATTAGAGGTCACTCAGTTGGACTTTATGCTCAATTTCTTCAGTGTCCCTCCCCAGAGGCAGGTATGCTGTTAGTTTTACAATGAAAAGATGTAGCAGCTGAGTCCAGACACAGCTCCAGTTTCTCCAAGAATACTTTAGATTATCTGGTGGGAAGTTTCTTTATTTAGATTGTTCCAGCACCTTAAAATTAATGCACATTAAAAGCACCAGCGTTTTCCCAAGAAATCACTTTAGTGGATCCTCAGAGGAAGGTAACAGAACATTATTTATGAAACACAGCTTTCACAATATCAGTGATCATTTTAACAATGAGGGACACACTTTTGGTCTTGGCTCCCTTCAAAAGTTAAATCTGAAACTATATGTTTTGACACAGAATTTTTCTATGTATGGATATTCTATATTTAAGAAAAGAATTCCAACTCATACTCTGTAGTCATTGCTACTCCATGATCACCACAAATGCCTAACCTGTCAGGCTGGTGCCAGTTGCTGTAGTATTGGGGTTTTCTAAATGGCATGCTCACAGTGGCATCCAGGGGCCTCTGAAAATAGGCCAACCCCTGACTTGTATGGACTTTTCTGTAATAAATTTCAAAAATAAATCACTGAGTCCCTGGTTCACTCATTTAATTACAATACTTTTTAAACATCAAATTTGGACCAGGTACAATTCTAAGTCCCAGGATCATTTCTTTTGCAGAAACTGCAGTGCATATGTTCACATTTATAAACATTTTTGTCAAGGTCATTTTCCACAAACTGAACAAAACTTGTGTGTCCTCAAGAACTATAGATGCCTAGAGCCAGCAATTGGCATTTGTATTAATGCTCTGGGTTATATCTGTTGGCACAGATGGCACACAGAGAAATAAGCAATCATCCCTCTGCCTCCTAAGAGGTGTGGACATACAACTCTGTTGATGGCCTTGGTTGTGAAATACTGGTAGTATCAGGTTTGGGAATGGCATCTCACCATGTTGTTCCACCAGAGTGTTTCCTTACAGCAAAGCTTCTCTTGGCATCCCCCATGGGCCAGGGAGCTGTGATGCTGATCACCTTCACAAAATGCCTTAAAAACAATAGAGAGCTTGAGGCTGATGGATAATGATTTTAGTTAATGCCATTATCAGCCTGTGCCAACTGAAGAGTAACATGAGAGTCTCATTCTTACTGACTTTGCGGTCACACCTTCCTGAGTTGATTCTAACTACCATACACTCAGCTTACCATCTGAGTGTCCTGCACAAGCTTCTTAAGCTCTCAAAATCACTTTTCTTCTGTCTGTGATGTGAAGATTGAAGTGCCTATGCTCTCTTCCTATTCTGAGGCTAAGCAAGACAGAACCAGGGAACCCAGCCTGGCAGCACTGCTGTTGGAAACCTGCCTCTTTCTCTCTTAATACAGAAAATCTGTGTCTCCACATAATAACACAAGTATAATTGGAGAAGCATAATTAACAATGACAGAATAATAATTTATGTAATAATCTACATAATAATTCCAACTATTCATACATTTTACTGTCTGTTAGTCACACTCTAGGTGGAAGGCCCTAAAGATAACTGCCATGCAGAGAGTTCTTTATTATCACATGATCATTTAATCTCAGATCTGTATGGTTTTGGGGTGAAGATTCAAGTCTACTTATTACTCAATATATCTGAAAAAAAAGATTGTTGTACACTTCTTATGTATGTTCAATTTATTTCTAAAAGGCAGAATTCCAGTCTCATTGTCAGAGAATGTGGTGTTTAGGATGGCAATTATAATACTGTGACTACATTTCTCAAGCCATAAATTGACATGTGGTCTGACAAGCATAAAGTGTACTTCTGGAGACAGTGGGATAGAATATTTGAAATCAGAACTGGAAAATTTGGGACATATGAGGGCTATAAATAGTGAGGAGAGATTGAGTTGGCTCCAACAGAGACTCAATTCCTAAGAACCACATAATTAGCTAGCCCCCATTTGTCATACATACAAATACTGGTGCACGACAGAGATAATCTAAACCAACATGGTAAACAAGCCAGGCCTGTGCCAGAGGGAAGCCTGGCACATACACTCCTTGTTCCTAGACCTCAGTGATGCCCTGTGCAGGGTAAGTCTTCCCTTGAGGAACCAGAGCTAGGAAATAAAACATACAGCTATGGAAAGGCTAAACACATGCACATAGTACGGACTGTTCACTGACATGAAATGGTCAGTCTTTCTGGGTAGCTCCTTCTTCCTTCCAGAAGGGATTTTACAGTTTTAAAATGTTATTGCTTCTTCCCCGTGAGAGACTCTACCTTCTTCTCAGACCCATCAGGGTGTTACTCCCCCAACCAAGGTTCACTAATCAACTTCGGAGTTTAGAATGAGACACAAGACATGTTGGGAATGCTGGTCAGTGTTACAGCACTTGTCTAGCATGCATGAGGCTCCAGGTTTAGTCCCTAGTATTGTGGAGAGGGAGCAAAGAAGCAAAGAAGAGAAGGAGAAAAAGAGGAGAGAGGAAGGAGAAAAGGAAGGAAGAGAGCTGGGATACGGAGTCATAGCAGGTACTTTGCAGAGTATACATGGGGAAAGTTATAAATCTTTATTATTTCTAATCTGTCATTATTAGGAATAAGGTATAACTTCTATGCAAAATATAATGACCATGCTTTGACCACTGCAACACAGAATGGCAATGAATAAGAAATGTGTGGGGCATAAATTTATCAGAATAAAGATAGGAATGTTCTATTTGATGAGGCTTAATCTCAACTGATGCATACCAGACACTGCTAAGAGCCTTAAATATATCCTCTTTGAATTTTATCAACTGTAATGTCATCTCACTTTTTATAGGTAAGGACACTGAGACTGAGAAACATTAAGAGAATGTCCAAGTTCATGCAGCCAGTTGTATACAGTCTCAAATGGAAGCCAAGTCTTCTTCCTTCAGACTCCAAAGACAACACTCATGACAAGAATAAAACGTATTTCAAGGAGGACTGGAATGGAGACTGTTCTCACAGAGTTACGGTTCTTCACAGTCTAAGCATTAGAACTACTGAGAAATGTTTTAGACATACAGAAAGCTGGGTCTCATCCTGGAATTTCTGATCTCGGACTTGGGGCTAGCTCATGCCTCTGTATTATAAAGAAGCTCCCCACACTCACAACTGGTGATAATCATACACATTTCCTTTTAAGAACTCTTAACAAACCTAGTTGTTTCTGGCTGAGTTCTCTCTCCTTTCTTGGTGAGAATGGATGAGGGATCAACATCTAATGTTACTATTTAGCATCTGTTGCTTGCCCAGGATGAATCCACCTCTGATGAGCATGCAGTAGTGGCCAAATAGCCCATAGGCCATGGTGGTGCTTGATGAATCCTCCAAAAAGCTTTGAGATTTTCATAAAATTCCAAATTGAGCCCTGGAGATTTTATATTCAGTTGATGCCTATGCTTAGTGACACATTCTTGACTATTATAATGAGCTAGTCAAATTAAGCCAAAACCCAGTTAAAGATTCCTCCTCACAAATTGCCCTCAGGATAGCTGAGTTATGAACACTGGAGGGGGGAGGTGGCAGTAAGCAGTGCAGGCATAGCTACACACACACTATGCAAATACATCCCGGTGGCTTTTGGTAAATGTAAAACATAAATTTAAATGTATGGCAACACATACTTGGACTATGAGCAGAAATTCCAAGAATACTAATCTTGACAAATTATTCAAATAAGAAAGCAGAAGAGATGAAAATAGATGAGTCCATTTTCAAATCTTCACTTGAATTTTTTGATGTTGCTATCATACAGACAGGTACAAAAAATAAATTGGACCAAAGGATCCAATTCCATACTTCTGGGCAGCCCAACTCTCAAGTTATCCATTGTTTAATGGCTTCAATACATCCTGGAAGAATGGAGGTCACCTAGTCTCTGGGTCTGATGCTAAAAAACACATAATATTGACCTTAACCTTCCCTTAACCTGTTTCTACTGCTCAGTGACTCAGATCAAAGATTTGACTCCAGTGACTCCAGTGACTCAATTTATCAATCTGCAAATTTGGGTAAAAAGGAGAAAGAGGAATATGGGTGGATGAGAAACATCACATTTGTACTATACTTCTGCTTTAATTGCAAACTACCCACAGTTATGTATATTCTGCTTTATGTACTTTATAAAAGTCAGATGTGGAATTCCCTGTGGTGGTGCTTGTTTTAACTCTAGAAAACTTGAAGGCAAGTTAGAACCAAAAGAAATGAAAGAAATAGGCTTTAAGAATTAAATTTTTTGAATATTTTCTTTCCTAATTTATGTTGTAGAGAAATGGCATACAGACTATCATCAATGAAATGCTTTCAAGTAAATCATAAGCACAGTCATGTACAAAACCAGCAGTCAAATCTAGATGTGCAATTAAATGCTTAGTTATGTTTAAGCAGCCCTTACATTCTGTCCTCCCTCACTTTACCCGCAGGAAAACACAGTAGCCTTCAGTCTAAATACACATTCTTTAAAAGGTTTAAATACCATGAAACTGCAACTGGGAGTCTAATTAGGGGTGGAATTAATGGGTCAAAGCATGCCACTCAGCCTTATCCCTTATCCCTTGCCATTTTGCATAATTCTCCAGATCCTTGCACCAACCCACAAGAACGTATTGATCTGCTTCTTCTGTCATCCTGGAGTTAGTGAGAAGCACTTAGTAATTTACCCTTTGTCAGTCTTAGACATGGTTGAGGGGGAAAAAAAGTCAAAGTAATGACTTTGTGATGCTTACTCAAACAGTTTTTATTTAATCACCAAGTAAGTGATTTAAAATTGTCCTCAGATACTGTCCTACCACTATGGGATAAAGTACACATGTAGGGTGAAATATACAGAAAGATAGGAATTCTTTCCCTCAACACAAGTTTAGTCAGGCTTTTGTTTATTTAAGAGAGTTTATAGATTACCAAGGTAGACTATCACCAGGGATCTATAGTACTTGTTCT